TCATCCCTCACTTCTGCTAGCTTTCCGTGGGGATSGATCCAGAGCTCCCTGARGGCCTGGATGGCCTGTTGTTTACATTCTCTGTCTGGGCTCGCGGTCAGTACTTCAACTAATTTCCTGCTGGCTTTCAGCAAGTTTGCCCGGAGGAACTCCACCAGCTCCGCTTTAGCTTGGTGATAGCSGAAGGCAACTTCTTGGCGTTCCCCTGAGCATCTCATTTGCCATATTACCATGAGTATTGCCAGTYGCATATATCCGAACAGATTTCRTTGGAACGGGGACCAGACTGCGGGGTGGTTTCTTCGTTTTCCCAATAGGATGAGTAYKACATCCYAGTGAAACAAAGTGTCTGTGAGGGCGTGCCACATCGCGTCCCACCATTGCCAAACCTTTATTGTCGCAGGGCATKMTAGCAAACAGTGTTCYWGATCAKCTCAGCGGCTTTTGGTATYGGACCCGCATTGGGAGCACATAGGAGACAGGACACCTGCTTGTTCCAACTTCCAAGCTCGATCTGGAGGTCACCCAATCTGGAGTCGGAAGGTAGCGGTGCGTAATTTGCCATTGGAGGGCTCTATGGGAGGTGGGGATTATGTGTGCATAGGTTGTCCACGGAATATGTCGCAATTCGTCGGCTTCTACCGGGGAATCCCTCTTCCATCTCTGTTGAATTATCTGAGTGGATGGGAGCCGGACATGGGCCTTCTTATAGCCCTCTTTCGTTGTGTATTGCCATATCGGGGTGGGGTTATGGGCCCCCCCATTCCCATTCTTCCGGGTCGAAAGGAAGTGCGTATATCAGGATTGACATTTCGTAGGCATAGTAGCCTGTATCGTCTGTCCCCACCACTCTGATTCTGGTTAGCTCATCCTCAGTAATTGTGCAGTCCAAGTCCGGGACCCTTTTCAGAGCTGCCCACCTCTTTCCCGGTACTGTCAGGTTCATATGCATACGTTGACACGCCCACCTCTGTAATGTGGACCACCCTGTAAATGGTCATGGGGATGGGGTTTGTGCTGGCCTGGATGACCCAATCTAGGCTGCGCAGCATTGTTCCATCCCGTAGGGATGCCACCCATGGGGGTGGGATTGCCTCTCAAAGTTGATTAAGCTTGTCATGAATATTCTGTACCGCTTTTAGCGTTGGCTGCAGTTGTTGTGCAGTCTTCCACATCCCTGTTTGGCAATCCCACAGATCCCCAATTGTGAATATGCCTTTTCTTACCCATGTGAGCCAGTGGGAGTCGGTGGACAGGGCGAAGGAGTGACCAGCATTGTCACATATGTGCGGGTTCCCAAACAGTGGTTGTCGCAAAATTTCTTCTGTCCTGTTTGGGGGGGACTTTTGGTTCGGGCCCATCTTCCTCCACAGGCCCAGCATTGTTGTCCACAACGGGTCGTATTTGAGGTCCCATCTGATGCTGTTACGAGCAGAGCCATCTCTCGTATGTCTCGGAGGGCTTGGTAGAGATCAAGCCTTATTTGTCAACCAGCTCARGGGGTGAATCGGGCGATGGGGGGGCGTGGGGAGTGCAAGGTTAGCCAGCTGTATGTGAGCCACGGGAGGTCATTGACCAGCARGAGGCAGGTGATAATTTTGACCATCAGGGCTTTGATTTAGCCACAKGAGATCTYAGTYTCGATCTGGCWCTCCACCCCCACTTTCCTAAAATCCTTGACACACCCCTTTTTCGCACTTTCGGGGCCCCATCCCACTCCGATCAGGAAGTCGCGCTGGGCATGAGGTTGGGCATCACAGGCATGCAAAATCACAGAATCGTAAAATCAGCGGGCAGGTGGAGCCACTCTAAAAGGAGGACTCGATTTGGCCCCTCATTTTGCTATTCTGTGATTTTGAGGGCCCAGTGTGAGTGTACCCTAAGGGGTTTTCATCTCTTGCATACCCCTCACCATGCAAGAAATGAAAACCAGCAAACAGCCGAATGGAGCTAGTTCCAGAAAGTGTCCATCAATTGAGAAAAACCGTTTTGTTCAGTCCATGCTTCCTATWACCTAAGAAATCCAACTAATTTTTGTGGCCCTGTKATCAAAATTGAATCAATGGCACTATCAACTGTCACACAGGGTAGAGTGTCCCAATACTTGTCTAATACACATGCAAGTGGGGCCTGGTGATGGTAGGAGAACCACCAGGATTGTAGTCTTGTGGGAGGGTGGCTCCTTTCCATTGGCAAAGAGCTTCATCTGCTGAAAACCGGGTCCTGCATCCCAAGAACAAACACTGAGGACCGACATCAGCTGGAAACTGGCTCCAGCATCCCACGTTGTGGCACCCAACCTCACGCCCAGCACGACTTCCTGATCGGAGTGGATAGTGGGTCTGGAAGTAGCGAGAAAGGAGGTGTGCCAAGGATTTTAGGAAAAAGGGGCGGAGTCCCAGATTGGAACTGGGATCTCTGGTATCAATGTGCTAATAAGGATGCAAGAGGTCCGGACGAAAGGTGTGTTCCGAATTTTCGGCGCAGTCGGTCGTTAGCCTTGGCACACCCTCCGCAGTCGGTGTGTGCAATGGTGGTTGAGAACAAATGTCGAATTTCGAGGCTATGAGCCCATGTTTGCGGCGGTCCTTCCTACTCGTGCAGATTGCTATTTGTGGACCCGTCAGAAAAGGATTGTGTGAGCGCGTGCGTACACTACTAGTCGCGTTTGTTAGCGAGTCGTAGCGCATGCACGCGTTCACATAAGTTCCCTTCATCAGACATTAAACAAAAATGACCAACATTCCTTTTCGTTCATTTCAGCAAACCGGTCTCAGACAAGCATCCATGCTCACTTATCATAATCTGGAATTGGGCGCACAAAGATACATGCGATCAAAACCACAATCACCATATCCAACATCACCTTATAAGGAAAGAAATGTAAGAGATACTCCGAAGAAAGAACCGGATTTACACAATCAGTTGTCCATCTGTAATTACAAAAATGAGAACGACGAAACTTGCAGTTCCGAATTCAAAAATTCCGAGAGGGACAGGAGAAAAAATATCGTACACCCCAGCAACCCACGCTCTCTCTCTTCTTCACCAACCCTCTTCTCATTCTTGTAGGGGTTGTCCGTCGCCTCGCACCTACCAGCAACTAAGAGTTGTTACCCAGCTAAGCGCGAGCACGCACACCGGATTCGCCCTTGCTCCATAGTCCGTCGTGGTCGCACGTCAACCCCACACACTCGTCGCCAGCCCGTCAGATCACCCAACTCTGAACTCACCTCTTCGTCGGCTCCTACTTGTTAGTCGATCGTCTCGGCCGCGCTAACCTTCTCAAATTTGATTAGAAAGAGATTTTGTCGCACTTGCAAAATTTATAGCTATTAGCATCAGCGCGAGATAGTTGGGTTTATGCTGAGGCAGAGGAAAAGAAGAGAGAAGGAAGTGCCTACGGTCGACATGCCTGAGCTGCAGCGTGGGGGACGTAGCCACTATCCGCGCATCGATCCAGTCATGCACTGTTGTGGCCAATGAGATGAAGGGAGAGGGGCTACGTGTTTCAGCGTGATGAGAAACCAAGAACGAGAAGATTACAGTTACACCCGCACTCATAGAGGAAGGAAAAAAAAGAGATTACAGTCGAGATTAGAATTAAGGCGCGGAGGAGGAGTGCAGGACAGAGCGCAGCAAAACGTGTGCGAGTACGGATCGCCGCGCGGTTACCAAAACGAAAATACGACAACCCCAAAATCCTAATCTAATTGAAGTCCTAATTCTGACTGCTCCCATAATTTTCCCCAGCGTTCAAAAAAAAAAAAAAAAAGATTTTCCGGCGCGATGACCACGCTGAAGTTCCCTTCCTCGATCTCAAAAGAAAAAGGAAGAGGCCGCGTCAACCGTTATTCCTGCTTTCGCTAAGGCGCGTCCTAACTACCAACCGCCATGGGACCAAGTTGTCACAAAACAAAGAGAAAAAGAGGAAAAAAATGGGGGTACTTGTGTAATTGGATCATGCCCCTCCGCTCAACCCCCAAAGTGCAATTGCGCAGAAAGTCACGCTAATAAGAAGATACATCGTCACAATCGCAGATCGAAGCTCAGATCTAAGTCTACTAAAAAGTTGAAACAAATTCACCTCAAAGGAGTTCGCGTCGGCCATAGAAACGTTGCAGAGCCACTTGCCAGGTCATCCGAGCTTGCAGTGGCCACCTCTTCGATTCCCCGAGGACGCAGTGCCGCCGCTGGTTCCTCCCACCGCCCCTTTTGGAGCCGTCGCATCGCCCAATTCTGGGGCTCCGGCCATTCGAGTCACGGTACCGCGTCCTGCAACAACAGTTGCAACACGACCGGCAGCCCCGCCGTCTGCGCCGCTGGCTGGGACACGAGGTGCTCGCGATGTGGGAGTTGGTCGTTCCACGCCAGCCAACGAGCCACCGCCTCTGAGGGATGGTGTGGGCTCTGCGGCATTTGACGAGGAGAGCACACGTGCATTTATTGAGAGTCGCAGGTGGGGGGGGAGTGCCGGCAGTTCAGCGCCCGCGCTCGCCCCTGTTTTCAGGAGTGCTAGGCAGTCAGATGCCGCACGGGGTGGTACTGCGGTGGCACCTGGCGCATCACCCCGCAGTTCGTCGGAGCACCCCTGGCTGCCACCGCCACCGTCGAGAGCGGCGCARCGTCCAATGGTCCACCACGCTHACRGAACCGCCCACCCGGATCCGTCACACGCAYCTGCAGATGCTCGACATTCTGCTTCCGTGCCTCGTTTCGGGGAACAGGTAGATCATGGGGTGCCTGCCGAGGAGGTCCCCGCTCCGGTGTCCGATTCATCGCCGACCCCTGTTCCGACAACCACGGGCGGTGGTCGGTCTGCCCCACAGCCTCCACCCGTGTTGACCGGAACGTTAGACCCTTTGCAGCGCATTCGTGACCTTGCAGTCGYCCAGAGCGCGACACCTGTGAGCCCTGGCGGGTTGTTGGATGCTGGGGTCCTCGGCGGGAGAGCTACGACGGGACGATGTCGGGGCACTTACAGGCAGCAAGCCGTCACGTCATATTATTCGGACCCTTTGGAGCGCGCATGACATCTGCAAATCATGCGGTTCATCATCGAGAGCGGGATGTCGTTCAACAACACGAAGCTTGAAAGCTTCAAACGCATGTTCACGATGATAATCCCGCCGGGGGTTCCAGGGGCGTCCGCGCCTAGACTTCCCTCGTACCACATGTTGCGCACGACCCTTTTGGACGAGCTGGATAGTGAGGTCCAGAAGTGTGTTCGGCCGGTGCTTGACACGTCGAGAGAGACCGGTTGCACAATCATGACCGATGGTTGGACCAACATCCGTGGTCAGACGTTGTGCAACTACCTTGTTGGTACAGAGATCGGGGTGGTGTATGTGTCCACCGACGTCATGCGTGGCAAAAAGGACGCCATTGTCCTCGCGAACGCATGGTTGAAAAGGGTGAAGTCCATGGACGTTCAATTGAGCGACATCACGGCGTTCGTGACGGACTCCGCCGGGGTGAACGTCGCGGCGATGGAGGTATTCCAAAAAGATGAGAGCGTGAAACACATCTTCTGGATTCCTTGCGTCGCTAACATCATGGATCTCATTCTCGAGGACATCGGCGGGATTGATTGGGTGGCTTCCCTCATTTCTCAAGCGAGGCTGGTTACAAGGTTCTTCAAGCGCCATGGACATGCGAGAGAGGTTCTTGAGGCGCACTCGACGAAGACTCTTCTGCTACCGGCGGAGACGCGTTTCGGCACGAACGTCATCATGATGGAGAGGCTGGTGGCACTGTGGGCCGCATTGACAGATGTTGTGGCCGACGATCGCTGGCGCGAGACTGTTTGGTCGACCAGCAAGATCCGCAAGGATGCAGCGGAGGTCACTGCATGTATCGGCTCCCCTCCATAGTGGGAGGATTTAAGAGCTCTGTGCAAGATGCTAGAGCCCATCATGGGCATGCTGAAGTTGGTGGACAGCGACACACGCCAGATCAGCAAGATTCTGCGACGTTACGAGGAAATGATTGCATCTTGTTTATCCGCATGTCGTGAAATTGATCGGGAGCAGCAGGACGCTATTGTGGAGGTGTTCCACAGGCGGCGCACCATGTTCAAGACCCCCGCCCACACGACAACCATCTATATCCAAAGTTCCGGGACGCGACCCTTTGTGACGATGCGGAGGTGCAGCAGGCCTTGGTCGAGGCCCTTGTCCAGTTCGGCTACCCAGAGGATTCGCCGCAGCACCGGGAGGTCCAACGAGCGGTCGCCAAGCTCCACACGAGGGAGCCCCCTTTCGATGAGCTCACCATGTGGTGAGCTGCGGATATCTTTGATCACCCTGCCAGTTTTTGGTCCTCAAAGAAGGCGAAGTTCCCTCACACGGCCGTGTTTGCAGGCAGGATCTTTCGTATGTGGGCGACCGCCTCACCGTGCGAGAGAGCGTGGTCTCGTTGGAGCTTCATTCATTTGAAGTCTCGCGACAGGTTGGAGGTTCCCTGGGCTGAGAAGCTTGTGCGGTGCCACTGGAACCTCAGGCTACTCGATCGACCTTCGTTGTGCGATGATGGTGTTGGAGAGAGGCCCGGCGTCTTCGGGAAATGGGTGCATTATTGGCAGGCCGTGGAGGACGAGGCAGCCATGGACCAGCAGCTCGTCAGAGGCACCGGTGTTTTGGCGAAGGTGACCGAGGAGGAGTTGAGCCTCGCCAGAGAGAGGATGCGCGCCATTTCCCGCATGGGAGCCGAGTGTCGGGTGGCGGAGTCGGACAAGAGGCGACGCAGGGCTGGTGGTCGGGGACGTGGCGGCCGTGGACGAGCAGGTGTCGGAGGACGTACACGTGGCGATGCGGGTTCCGCTCCTGGGACTCGGCGACAGCGGACGGATGGTGGCATTCGCAGGGCCCGCATGCGTTGGGACGAGGGTGACTTCTTGTTCGACAGCACATCCAGCGACGACGACGATTTCTTTGCGTCGGGAACACATGCATCCACGGGTGATGATAGAGGTGACGCTGACGACAGAGGCGATGACAGAGGCTATGGTGATGACAGAGGTGATGGCACAGGGCCTGGGGGCTGTCTCTTATACACATCTAGATGTGTATAAGAGACAGGGTGAGGGGGGGGGTGATGGTGGACGGAGCGGGTGCCGTGGCGATAGGGTTGACGAGCGTGTGGACGGCGATTTTATGCCCCGTGGTCGCTACGTTTTGAAGCGGTTGAGACACAGGGGTAGGCTGGATGACAGTATTGCGTCTCCTGTACGCAGACGTCGTGTCCACATTGCGATCGACACGGGGGCACGTGACATGCGGCAGGACCCGGTTGTCGTGTCAGAGGACGAGATGGGAGATCCTTCCAACGAGACGCAGCGCGACCCGGTTCATGCAGAGGAGCTAGCCTCGAACACTGATGTGATAGTGACGGAGGAGGATACAGGGTTCAGGATCACTCATCCCCGGTCGCCAGCGCCGCTTGTTGGCACAGAGGAGGAGACGGAGTTCGGAGGACCCGGTCCACTCCGCCAGGCGCAGACTCGGTGCACTCCAGCAGGCGCCCCAGTCCACTCCACAGGAGCGGGTTCGGAGGACAGCGAGGCACGACGTGAGCCGCCTCCTCACACGAGTGACGGGGGTCTAGAGGAGGGAGAGGTTGCACCCACTCCCACTTGTGGAAAGGACGGGGAGGACGAACGTCCTCCGACGGACCACCACGTCGGCCTCGACTGCCCGCCCGACAGTCTTCCGCCCACCGACGAGCTATTCACCATGGATTCCGCCTTGGCATCTCTGCCCGATATATCGCTACTGATATCTCCCACTTTGCCGGTTGTGGCACCACCGGAGCCTGCTAGAAGAGATGACGCGCGTCGTGACAGAGGGTTCGACGAGTTCGGCGGCGACACGATACTGCATCCTCCAGAGTCCGGCACTCCCGCCATTTTTCATGTCGGTGCACCGTGGGCGGTGGAGCAGGGGTTGGCGGAGGAGGTAGCACGGAACCGTTGTGGTGGACCGCACGTCGCAGCTCAACGTAGTCTGGAAGGTTCACTAGAGGCAGCGTCTGGAGATTGTTTGGCACAGGGGGGTCATGGTTCGCAGCTGTTATCGGACGGCGTGTCATCAGTCCATCCACCAGAGGAGGGCCCGCAGCAAGAGCCACATCGAGGGCCAGCGGAGACTTTAGAGGCGAGGCCTCCCGGAGTTATCCGCTCGGACGGAGGCGAGGGCGTGAGCGAGGATACAGCGCAGCCAGGGAGCGCAGATGGTGGACGGTCCTTCAGGGGGGGCATCGAGCGCAGAGGGTCATCGACCGCACACCCCAGCATTGTCAGGCCCAGCACACATGACGTTGGAGACGGGCACACAGATGAGCCTCAACCGCATCTGACGGGGATGCGTGGCATTATGTGTCCACCACCCTCACGCCCCTCTGCCGCTCATCCTGCCGCCCACGGGCAGGCCGCGCCGAGCACATTGCCTACGAGGTCTTTTTACGACGGTGCGGGCATGGACCGGAGGGCGGGCGATATCGGACAGACATCGGCATATGGACCGGCAGATGTGCCCGCGGGGGCACGATCGATCGGCAACGTCGATGGCACTTGTCATGATTCCATGAGAGCTTACGAGGAGCAGCATGGGAGGCCTATACGGGCCAAGACAAGCGATGTCAACGACACCAGGACGACAACTGCGAGGCTGTCACGGGCGAGGAATCAGGGAACAGGTGTGTCGATTCCGTATCACCGGCGCCGCCTGCATCCTTTTTTCCGCAACAGGGACGAGACCAGACAGATGCCAGCTGCCGCAGATGGACAGGGAGGGGCGGAGGGAGGTGACAGAGTGGACGAAGCAGGTCGAGGTGAGAAGAGACGAGGCGGCACGATCATCCTCCACGACGACAGCTCCACAGCCGCTGACGATCCTGATGACTCCGATTACGTCCCGAGGATCCGTACAGCGGACGGAGATGACGGCGGAGGTCGTCGCGTGAGGATGAGGACTGGACCTGGCCCGGATGATCATTGCACCCCAACGGCACATTTGCCGCCTATTGATCGACGGGCGCAAGCTCGTTCTCTGTTGCGCAGACTGGGGGAGCAAAGACAGGCACGAGGGACATCAGCAGCCGGTGGGGGAATCCCTGAGACACGACGGAGAGAGAGAGAGAGAGAGAGAGAGAGAGAGAGAGAGAGAGAGAGAGAGAGAGAGGGAGAGAGAGAGAGAGAGAGAGA